TGACGCGCTTCACCATTCACTTTCAATGGAAACCTGACGCTTTTGACGCCAAAGTTAAGTCCGGTGTGAACGCCCCTTAAGAACATATCATGGTTAACTAGTCTGATTTCGTTAGTTTAATATTCAGTTCACTACTAATTGAGAATACTTGCCCTATGTTAAAAATATTAAGTTAAAACAGAGTTAAAACCTGATCATGTTTAGAAAATGCAGTTAGCAATTATGTTCCCAAATTCATTACTAAAAGTTAAAATGTATTGTTTAAAAGTGTGCTAAAACCAGATCTATTGATCAGTGATGTCTCCCCTTTTTGATAAAAGGTAAGAAAGTAATATGATTCAAATGTAGTTAAAAACTTTAGTTCAAAATAAATATATGAAAATAGACTTTACTTTTGTAAAGTAAATGTCATTAGTACAATAAACCTATACATTATAAATAACTATATAGTAATGCAAAACTGTTTAGAAAAAGGTCTTCAACAAACAGTTTACTGACATGAGCAGGTTAAAAATATAGATTATTTAATTTGGGAGTATGATATTATTTAATATAAATTAGTACTTTCATTTACTAGCAGGAACATTATTTGTTTACAAGTGGCGTTTAAAAAACAGTTTAGTTACATAGAAAATGTATGTTTCTGTTCTCTTTTAGAGGTTTTTAATATGATTTTAAGCTGTAAATAAGCCATGACAGAAAATCTCCCTCCTCTGGACCCTGATTACCCGGCCGGAATCTTTCCGTACTGTAGTCTCCTCAAACCTGCATATTTCCCTGGAGTCTCCACTTCACTGAGACTGTGTTGATTTCATTCATTCAGCTGTGATTTGCACTGATAGACAATAATTAATGCATTTAATTGAACTTGATCAAATCTACATTTATTTTTGTTTCATGCGAAATATCGGTGTATTTGGCCCGCGGCCGACTGGCAAATTTTTACTTTGGCCCTTAGAAGCTAAAGGTTTGGGCACCCCTGGACTAGAGAGAGTAGAGAGAGAGACCAGAAAGAGACCAGAGAGAGACCTTAGAGTGACCAGAAAGAGACCATAGAGAGACCAGAGAGAGACTAGAGGGAGACCAGAGAGAGACCAGAGAGAGACCATAGAGAGACAAGAGAAAGACCAGAGAGAGACCAGAGAGACCAGAGAGAGACCAAAGAGAGACCAGAGAGAGACCATAGAGTGACCAGAAAGAGACCATAGAGAGACCATAGAGAGACCAGATAGAGACCAGAGAGACTAGAGGGAGACCAGAGAAACATCAGAGAGAGACTAG